CAAAACTTCATTCAATATGTATGACCTCCTTTAAAGGTACTCTTGCTATATGCAAAAGAGCTGGGATGCATAATATGTAGGAAAACTCCCATTAAATCTGTCCTACAAACTGTCAAAACAATCAAGCACTTGACATTAAGGCAGTAAAGTGTATTTTGCTTTAAGGCTTGGTCCTCCATTAATAACAGATTTTTGGTGTTCTAAAATCTGTTTCAAAATCAGCATTTTTAATTAGAACTGGAAGTTTCTGCTTTGAAATATGCATACAAACAAGCACCGTGTTTCGTAGTTTGCTGCAGTACCTTCTTCTCCATTTACTAGAAACGTCTGTTTCTAATGCATGTTCTGCTTCATCTGTATGGTTTGACACTGGTGAATAAATTCTTAAGAAAGGTGTTAGTTGTGCTGTTTTAACTTTTTTTCATGTTTGGAGAAAAAGGTTGTCAAAATTCTTGATAAACCTTTTGTGGTTACTAAACTTAAGTCTAAAAATTCCTTAAATGTGAGGTAATTCAAGTTTTACTGAACAGTAGAGCTAGGAAGAACAAGAAGGTGTCTGAATGTTTCAAAATCATGTTCTTTATATGGAGTGTATCAAGGAGTCTTGGGACACCTAAACCATTTTTCTGCTTTTTCTTCCTCAACTGCAAAACACCTTTTATCCCTAAGTGTGATGGTAGGAGAGAGGAAGAGTTAAAGTGAAACTTCCAGAACTGTTTCAATGACTAGCTTGTTGAAATTTCTTCTGGGCGAGTGTCTTGGATGGTGTTCCTAAGCCTAGCATTGGGTTGTCCTTTTGTCACAACCAACTGCTATGAACAAGTGTAAGTTAATGATAGTACAGAAAAATAAGATGATGTCTTCTCTCTTTGCATTTCCAGGCAAAAAGATTGTGATCTTAAAAAGCCGTTATCTTGTATACGATTTATAGCTAATGATGAGACTGTAGGATATACATTTCTTCTTTCTGAAGATGGTCACATGAACATCCCGTTATTTTGACATCCAGCTGCTTATGTAGGCATGGGCTGTACATCCCAAAGGTTGAAAGGGTTTAAAGGTGGAGGTTGGTAAGGAGAAAAAGGGGTATATGGACCCGAGTTTTAAGGGCAGCTTATTGTGGGGAAAGTTGGTCCATACCTGTCCAGTTCTTACAGCATGGAAGTGTGGAAACCAAAAATGAAGTTACGGGTTATTTCCCAAATAGCCAAGCTATGGAAGTAAGCAACTTCTGAAAGTCTTTGCTGTACCTATGGTAAATCTTGGCCCTTGACCTATTTGCCTGTGATAGTTAATATTTTATCCATTTCTGCCAAGTAGATGTGATGTACTTAGTTTCTTAGATACTGTTTAAAATAGACTTGAATTTAAGATTAGCTGGATGAATTTACGGTTTAACTGGATAATAGCAGAGTAAAAATTACTGTTCCACTTTGAGAATTTTATTTGCGTTGATATTCAGACACTTGCGCAGCAGACAAATACAACGTACTGCTCTGTCTCTTGAAGGCTGTTGGCCTGAAGTTAGGTTGCCTTAAACTGTAGCTTGATACTCAACTTCTTGTCCTAGTTGCATGGTTGTGCTAGTGGAGTGCTGGGAAGTGAAGAGTCCAGCTTCTGTTGGCAAATGCTTCCTCAGGTGCTGGAGCTGGACTGGCTGGAAGACACTTCACTTGTGAAAGACAGTCTAAATGAAAAAATAGTTTAATGTCAGGTTGCAAGTGTCATCCTTGGCTACCTCCCTCGGCTATTTTCAACTGGTTGGGGAAGGGCAGGGTGAGGGTGTTGGTTTTTTTTTTTTCAAGTACTTCTTTGTGAGCCAGCAGGTTGATACACACTGGTTAGGAAGGTAAGGCAGCCAGCTGGCTGTCATGACAGCAAGAACTTTATAGTATGGTATAGCAAACAAGGGTTACCTATTCTATTTTTTCTGCCCTGTGGCAAAATCAGTTATGTCGTGTCATACCTGATGGATCTTTGGCTTAAATTCCCTTAAAATTTCCCAAGGTCGGGGGGGCTCTAATGATTCTTCTGGTACTCTGCATGGTGTTATCCTTACCCCGGAGTCTTTTTTCCTGGTGTCTTGCCCGCATCTGTCATGCTGTGATTTAAGTATATTGTTACTTTGAACCTTCCTTACTGTTAACAGATTATCCTCTGTATTCAGAGGCTACTCTGTTATGTTGATTGGGTAAGTGTGTAAATGAAGAAGGCTTGCATTCAGAGTTAGTGGGGAGGGGTTAATGACTAACTCCAGCTGTATAAAGTGCTATGGTATGAAAATGGCATTTAACAGATTGTAGCTTTCTTCAACCCTGATTAATAGAGAGGAGGAACTTCATGTGTTAAGCAGAAGGAATGTGGAAGATGCCTATAAAGTTAAGTCAAAGAAGATGTAGAATTGAACTGGAGGAGAGACAGCAGTAACTTATCAAAAGTTGTTCTGAATCTTTTGGGGGGATAGTTTTTCTAGAGGAAGGTAGAGTTCAGGCATACTGGTTTTTATGTTGGCATGGTTATATATAGATCCACAGCAGCCTTGTGCTAGCACAGGAGAGTTGCACGTGGTCAAGGCTCAACTGTATGATTATTAATCAAGACTGTCTTGGTGTCTACCTATGCATCTGTTGACAGAGGTGTGATAGAGTTGACCGTGTCCTGCTCCACTGGTGGAAGAGAGAGTCAACATTAATCTTTGTCAGTATCCCTAAAGACCAGCTTCTCTGTTTTGTGCTAAGAGATGTTAGTGTTGTCAGGGTTGGTACTGCAGTTCCTGATGCTTCATGCAGCTTTGGGAACTTCCAGCAGCACAGGTCATGGCAGGTGAATAGTGCTGTGTGCTGACATGGACTGCCTGTAGCAGCACTGTTTCCAGGAAAGTCAGGTTTTGACTGCCACGTGCATTGCTGGCATTTGTTGACATTGGGTTCATCAGACTTTGGACCATCGGTGGGGGGCACAGAGTTCGTTACATTAACGGACTACTTCATAATCAAGTATAGTGCTACAGGCTGAAGCTGCCTTTTGTTGCTGAGATCTTCTAGTGATTATTATGCAGTTAGATTGAGATATATATATTTAATATGTTGTAAAAGTAGCCTGCCTGTAGTTGTTGGAAAAAATCAGTAATATCTTCAGGTTTTGCTACAGGTTGGCAAATAGCTCTGTGGACCTCCTGTCAGAGTGAGGCTGAAATTTCTTAGCTATAGTTGCTGGATATGTATCCCACTATTTGCTTGGTAATGCTACCAAGAGAGGGGATATGACCATTACTACTTTGTCAGGATTTTGTCCCATACCTGCTCTCTGTCGTCCTACTACAAGGAAGAGAGAAATAAATCTCTTACTATTGTTCTTGCAGTTCCAAGAAGATCCTTGAGGCTCTGTTTCGTATGTGTTTCAGTAGTACTGTCAAAAGAGTCCATTTCTCACCATTTCAGCTGCGTTTCCGACAGTTGACTTGTCATTACGATACGCTCAGGGTCAAGCTCCTAGACTTGCTTTTTTAAAATGATGCCAGGAAAATTTCACTGGCATTTTCAGAGACTTAGCCCTCTGCCTGGTGGTGGTTGTAAGCAATGATAAGGTATGGTGGCCACAGCATTGGCAAGTCAATGCTATGGCTCTGCTCCTCGTAAAGATCCTTACAAAGGAAGATCCTTAGGGAAGACCTGCATTTCAGTGAAACAGTACTGATCTGTTGAAAGGCTGAGGTCTTTCATCTTGGTAAGGGTTCTGTGCTATTAAAGCTTTCTCTGTTACTGGTGTAGATCAGGTGGTCTAAAAACATAAGGGAGGTTTGCAGTGAAAGGAGGGGGAAAGAAGAGTTTATCCTGTGTTCTTACAGAAATGTTAAGTTTAAAATCCTAATTTGTACCTGTGTACTCTGTCATGTTTGATGGCACATTGCTTTACCAGGTGGTCAGTAATAGCATGTAACTTAGTGTGGCTGGTGTTAACTTCAGCCAGTTGTGTAGAAATGAAAAAAAGGAAAATGATGGCTACAAACCCCTGGTACAGCTGCTTTATCCCATGTGGTGTGCATAGAGTAGAGTTCATTGGCTTCTGCTGTTAAATTCAACTGTGCTGCAAGTGCAGTTAAGGCAGTATCTGTGCAGTGGATGGAGAGCTGGTGCTGGTAACTGCAGTTGGAAAGACCCACTTCTTGAAGAAGTGCTAAAATCTGCTAGTCCTGATATTTCTGGCTTGCAGAAAGGTAATTAAAGTTGTACACCCCAGTGATGTTTAGTGTCAAGAAAGACCTGACTGGAAGTTGGGAGTTCATTCCCTTGTGTTGAAACTGAAACCTTCAAGATGGAAAAAGGGAATGCATGGAATGCATTAAAGCAAGAGATATGTGTTTTTATTTCTAATGACATAGCATTTAAAACTGATTTAATGAAGAAACAATGACAGTTACTGAAAGTATCTTTCCAAGACATTTCATGTTGTACGTACCTGATGATCCAAGGAAAGGTCAAGTTTATTCAGATACCTAATTAGCTGCTTGAAGTGTGTGCATAGGGAGAGAGGAATTGGCTTCTACCCAGCAGTACAAGCTGAATTTTGCCTCTTCAGGGGGAAATCAGTACAAAGTTCAGGCTCTTTCCATCTTAAGTGTATCATAAACTGAAACATTAGAGTCTGATCTTTAAGCTTAATAAGCTTCCCTTTACAAGTGCAATATATCAAGTTGTACTGCCTGACTCTTAGTTTAGGAATACATTTGCTAATTAAGCTAGCAGCACCTGCCTGATAAGTTGTCTCCAAATTGCTACCGTCACCTGAAATATTTTGGGCATGGTGCTGCGGAGAGGGAGGTGGGAAGGTGCTGCAGGGATGCACAGTTTCTGCAGAAAGTCTGAAGGGAATACGGAAGATGGTATTTATCTGAGCAAATATTGGTTGACTGTCTGGGGTATGAATGTCTGAATTTCCTTTGCATTTAGGAGACCCCAGGATGCAGTTCCCCTGACCTATTTAAAACATCTTGGATGCAGCCATCTATGCATGTATACCATGGCCAGGTGAGATGTATGCCACAGAAGTTTTCTGGATTTTTTTTTTTTTTAAGCCTGGTAACAGCTTTTCCATCTTTGACAACTGATAGTAAACACATGGAATTAAAATTGGTTTGACTCATTAAAAGGGAAACATCAGGCAAACTGTGGCACTCTGTTTTTCTGCCAGCAAGGATAGCAACCAGAGGTAACTGGACTGTGCAATAAAATAACTAAAACATTTCTTCTGACAAACCTTTGCTGAGGTTATTGACTTAGAGACAAAATGGACATCTGGAAGTGGCAACTAAGTTGTTGCAGGAAAACAATGGAATTTTTCTTTACATACTTGGCCTGGACATCTAATACGTTGCAACAAAGCATAAGTGAACATTCAGGGATGAGCACTGCTGCAGGATGGAGCAAGCTTGCTGTTACATATCAGGGAATAAAGCACATGCTCTCTTCTTTCTTTCTTGCTTTCCCTACAGAAAATATGATCTAGGTAGCATTATTAGGACTCTTGGTTTGTGTTTTGAAGGCTTATGGCTGTCAGCCTAGCAAGGGCCTGCAAATATGCTTATGAGTTCGACTGACTGCTTTGAAATCTGAAGAAAATAAAGGAAGCCATCTGGCTTCCTTTCTAAGTGATTGCCCCTCAGATTTCTTCTGGCTTGCAGAGGAATACCTTTGATAAACCTCAAGAAGATTGTGCAATGCAGAAGGAAGCGAAACAAGCATGTGTCCTTTTCTCCCTGCAGGCTTGTGTTCTTGGTGTTACAGACCATCATGTGAACCTCCTCTTCTACAGCAGGAGTGGTTCTTGCTACAATACCTTGCCTTAGACTGTCAAATACATTTCCTTATATCCTAATATAAAAATAGATCAGGAAAAGGCAGGGAATGGGATAGAGTGCCACGGAAGTTGAAAAAGAGCTTATGTTGTCCTGAAATGCTGATCTGCTGTTTGGTTTGTCATGAAGGTCTCTTCTGTTCCTGAGGTCCCTCACTACATTACCAAAAGATGTCTCACTGAGGTCCTCAGAGTTTTGCTCTTACAGGTTTAGAAAGTCAGATCCTTTAGTCTGTCCTTCAGAAAGCTCAGACAGCACCCTGTGAGAGGAGTGCCCCCACTCATCGTGTTGCAAATCAAGCATCAGTATCATATGAGCAAGTGCACCAGTTGAGCTCTGTGTCAGCAAGAGTTTTCTCTGTAAGCATCAGAAAATAATTTTTTAATCCTGGTATCATAATGTTGATGTCACAAGGAAATCACTACAAAACGGATAAAACTACCGCTCAAAGTAGATGCTTATACGTGATAATTCCTCATGAGTAAACGTCTAATAGTAGAATTAAGTTGCATCTGAGTAAAACACAGACTACTCATTGTATCATTGTCTCCAGAGGTTTAGAAACAGAATTCTATATTGACCCAGATGTATCATTTTTATAGTCATTAGAATAATTCACCGAACTACATAGCAATGGTCGGCAAAATAGCAACTACATAGCCATAATTAGTACCTGGGGGAAAAAAATCTTAATTAACCATAGCAAGTTGCTAATGATGAAGCCTGAGATGAATGATGAGCTGGTGATGGATTCTGAGATCATCTACTATCTTGTGAAAACATTTTTGTTGAAGAGTGGTGCTATACTTCCCTTTGCTACCCGGTTAAACCTCCACCTGCTCCCAGGAAGTCGTTCAGTCGCTTTCTGTGCTCTGAGGACAAATAGATAATCTGCACTGTGGAAATGCTGCTGTCTCTATTTTGTGCATCTTGGTATTCTGAATTAAAGAAGATAAAGATCCCATGTTCAAGTTAGAGTGTAAATTTCAGTATGAAAACTTCTGTCTCTGAAGTGTAGTAGGTTGAGCATAGCTGTGCGTGAGATATTGAAAGCTGGGCAAGCAGTCAGTCTTACCAAATTTAATATGACTGGCAGCATTTCATTATGAAATTTCTTGAATCCTTTTGTGACAAAAACTAAACTAGTTTGTTCTGTAGGTAAGCCTGAGTAGATCGGTGTAGAGACTAACCTAGGTAAGATGCTAGGCTTGTGGTAGGAGTGGATTAGATGCCAGCAGTTAAGTGTTTACTAATTAAGCAAAGTACATAAGTGGGCATTTTAATAGAAAAAGATGGGTTAAAGAAACTATGCGTCTAAAATTCTAACAGAACAGAGAATTGCAACTCTTCGGTAGTTGTTCCTGAGCCCATCAAACTGTTTACTGATTGCTTGTGCAGATGATTTTGAGTATTGAGAAATTCTTCCTGTTGAGATAAACCGCACTGTGCTGCCAGTGGCTGTCATCGTGGAGATGCCACGTTAGAGGGCAGCTGCAGAATCGAGCTTGCACAACGCCTTGCTTGTGGAGCTGTTGTTTGACTTGCTCGCTGGCTAGTTGCATCATATCTGTCTCCTGGGTTTGGGGGGGGGAAGCTGGCTGCAGATGAGAATTTCATCTGGGCTTTCCGTCTGCCTATTGTAAGGAGAATAAGGATGTGGGATGGGGATGGCAGGCAGGTGGTAGTGCACCGAAGAGAGGGCATGGCCTCTTTGGGGATGCCAGCTGTCCATGAGCCCACCCATGCTCAGTTACTCATCTTCTTGGTAAACTGCCTAGTGTTGTAAAGCTTGAATTTTAAGGCTAGGTTAAATACCACAGCTCTTGTCCAAGAAGTAAAAGGATGAGTAAAAACTCGATTTGGCAATTGTTTTGCCTTGGCAATTGCAATGGCATTTGAAACTGATGTGCTGTGACTGCACTAGTCAGAGTGTTTATGGGATGTTCCACTTTAGGTAGCGAGTGTTCTATTGTATGAACAGAAATAATGGTTTGTATTTTTTGAAATGGCTCTCTGTCTGAAAACCTGTTCCTTTCTGTTTTGACGGTGGAAGACTTTTCTTTACCACTCCAGCATCATATTGTAAATAATGAATTGTGTAAGCAAATACCCTTTGGGTACTTCTGGACAGCTTGATTTGGGCTTTCAGCCACCTGGGACTTGTATTCTAAACACTTGTAAAACCTGTTCTTCCCAGCCTTTACCCTTTGTCCTATCTTTCCAGGGAGAGGGAGGGTCAGTAAACTTGGAGAATTTTACTTAAAACTGCTCTGCCATGGAGTATCTGATGCTTTGAGTTACCACAGCAAGTACAGCTGGAGGAGTCACCCTATTGCCCTGCCCCAGTGTTGCCCTTGTTTGATGCACTTGTTTCTTCCAAGCCATTTTGAGCTCTCTGGTTCTGAACAGAGTCAAAATGTTAAGCCATAATCTTCTCCAGTCAGATTTCGCAAATGCTTTTTCATCTTGAAAATCACAGGTCTCCATCTATTTAGTGAACTGCTTCCAGCAGACTTTGTCTTGCTTCTGCTCATGACGCTTCTCCTTTTGGTGTCAACAGATGTTTATTTTCCTAAAACTTGAGGACAGTGGATACACTAAAAGTATGAGCGTGGAGGATGCTACAACGAAAAGCTTAGCAAACTAAAAAACATTTGGCATTTGATCCAAATGAGGGCGTATTAGAGCTGAGCCTTTTTTTGAGGTATGCACCATTGAGTAATCAATTAATCAAATCTTTGCTGCTGGTGTCAGGCTCTCTCACCCATTTAGGCTGAAGCGTGCTAGCGCCACATGCACACCTAGACTGCATTATCTCCCCGCATCCTCCTCCCTGCAGTGCTCCGAGATAGAGTTAGCACATCAGTAGATGCAGTTGCGTGCAGTTCCTTGGTCCATGCCTCATGGACGTTATGTTTATGTTGTAATTCTCTCTGAAAATGTTGTCTGATCTTTCTGGGGGAAGAGGAGATAGGAGTTAAATTGTCAACTTAATTTTCTTCTCTGTCCATGAGCATAGGTCAAAAGCCTGGAATAAAACCTGTCGGACAAAGTTCAAGCCAAGCTGTTGTTGACATGGTCCTGTGTGCTTCTTGGGCATGGGCTGAGACAAGGCAGTGGGGTGTTAATGACTTAGGTTTTAAATTTCTTGTGTACCCTTTGGAAGCCTTGGTTTAGTGGGATACTGTTGCATGCACTTGTCCTGAGAGGGTATGTGGCTGAATCCAAGACTGGAGAGCTTCCCTGTGGCTCCTCTAGGAAAACAGGCATCCTCTTGTGATCACAAACACATCATTACTGGTAGCCTTGTTACAAAGCTTGGAGGAATTTAGGAGGAGAGTGTTGGAACACTGGTTTTGTCTGTTTTTGTTTCCTCCTCTTTCACTGTTGGGAGGAAAGCAGTAATTAATACAGCTGGATGTTAAATGCAGCATTTTCTGTTGGCTCGGACTTATTTCTAGTATTCAGTTTCCAGACTTAGCACAGACAGACGGTAGCAGTCAAGTCTTTCAGTTAGTTTAGGATCCTCCTTAGGAGGAAAAATGTTCAGTGATGATCTATGCTTAACTTAGCTCTCCTTATCTTAAAGATGTAACAGCCTGATATAGGAATAGTTAACTTTGTTTTAAAATGGAGTGCTTAATGTGCTGATATTGGCAAAGAATATGGAAGCGTAAACTCTGGGTAGCAGCTTCATAAGCTTATAGTTGAAGAAGAAATAGCTTAAAAGTTCATTCACTCTCTAAGTGGTGTCCAAAATACACAGCTTCAGAAAGTTGCTGGGATGCATAGTCTCAGTTCTGAGTTTGTCCTTATTAGGATGATTTCAGATGTGCGTGGTTGCTTTGCTTCCCCCCACCCTTGCTGGAGCAACAGTTTAAAGCTCATTGTTCTCTGAAAACTCATGCACAGCGAGTATAACACCTTTAGTTGCACTGTTAGATGTATTGGAGAATGGTATCCAAGAACTCAATTTGAGAAAAAGCAACTCTTAAAAGGTTGTGTGCTGGTTGGTCTTTTTGGGGGTTGTCTGGGTTTTTTAGCATTGTATCTTGAATAAACTGGCATGACTGATAGGAGACAGCAAAGGGTTAAGCATGGCAGAGCTGGACAGTGATGTTAAAATAAACCAGGTGGTGAGTTGATGAAGGTTATGGCTGTTGGAAATCCCCAAATGATGATGCTTGTGTGACACTTTCTTCCTTCCTCCTGGAGGAGTAAATCCTGGAAGTGTTGCAGTTAAATGAAGGAATTGACTGCACATGTAATTATAAATATTAAGCCAATCTTCCCTTGTATCACTTTCTTGCTTGTACTTTGTCTGACTTGCAATTTTTAAAATGTCTTTAACAAAGTGACTTGCTAAGTATGCTGATAAAAAGTCAAATGTGAATAGGTCAAGAGCCTTGTATGATGAAGCAAGAATGGGGTGGTTGGAAGTGGAAAACTGTTTTTTAATACCTCCTGAAGGAATGCTTAGGAAAGAACTTTTTCTGCAGCAAAGTATAAACATAGCATGGTCTGAGCACTGCAAGAGAGCAATCTTTATCCAAAGCAATTAATTCTTGAAAATAGTTTTACTATATAGTTCAACCACAACATTGGTTACTGATGATGTCATTGAAAGGCTTCCACTGAGTAGGATGGTCTTGAGTCTAAATTTTAACTTGAAGTCGTATTTTGTTTGTGCTTCTTGCCAATGAGAAGAGTATAAAGGAGCATGAAGAATATACTTATGTCCAAAAGCAGCTAGTGCATTGGGAATCTTTTTAAGAGTGTATTTGTCCAGTAAACATAGTGTAATAGGATCTAGTAGAAGATGTGCTGTAATGGAAATCGTGTTAAGGCTTTAGTAATGCTTTGAAAAGTCTTCAGTTGCAGAGCTTTAAAGGTGCTTTTTATGGTCAATGTATGCCATCTTGTAAAATCTTTCAAGACTAAATTAGTTTAAATTTTTTCAATCTGCTATTAAGTACAATGTTTTGCATTACTCTTTATTGGAGGGGTGTATGATCAGATCAGCATAACTGAAATTGAGACCCTTGTCTGCAAAAGTAGCAGTTAAATTGCTTTCAAAAGAAAAAAATCCAATGATGCCCCCTGAATCACTGCTTAAAATACAGCATCCATTGGTCTCTTGTAGTGTGGCATTAAGAGGATTAATAGGAGAATATATTGATCTAAAGAATTTTGAGATCATCCTTTTGTCATGGGAAATATGTCCAATCTCCTAGTCAAACCAAATTTGGCTATTTCTATCCAAGTTCCTAGTTTCCTGTGCAACGACTGAAAATTATTTCTAGTTTTCCTTGCTTCTCGACAGAAGAACCTTCCAAATATAGCAGTTTGTTAAATTTAGTTTTATGAGGATTGGACACTGCTACTTTTAGATTTATTTTAAACTGGAGGAGGCACTTAAATTATGCTATGTTAAAACAAAAGCAGAACACATGCCGAGTAGCTTTTGCACTATTTTTTATGTGTTCAGGAGACCCAGTTACTAGGAATAGGCACTTAATTTAAAAATAGGTCAGTTGTCATGTATAGATAGTTTAAATGAACCATACAAAGCTCATACTGGCTCTTATAAAAACATAAGTTTATCTACTGGTAAGTGTAAAGTGATAACAGCCTGAAGACTTGTTTCAATACAGATTATCTTTTCCTTGCTTTACAGGAAAATCTTCACTGACGATTCAGTTCGTGGAAGGACAGTTTGTTGATTCGTATGATCCAACCATAGAGAACAGTAAGTAAATAACTGACAAGCTGCTCTTCTGTGCCTTAACTAACTTTTATCATAAGCCATTGTGGTTATACATACTACTTACATGGACTTTTACATATTAACATTAATTAACTGTTAAGTTTTATGAGTCCTTTAAACCAATGCTTACCAAACTTACAGAATTGCAGCATGGAAATAGCTGTGTGCGTATTTCTCCAAACAGCTAAACTGTTTTTAACACTAAATGAAAGAAAACCTAATCAATCTGGCTATTTGCATCTCCTTCTTGTGTTATATGTATGTTGTTGGACATCTGCTTCCCTAATATAGTTGGGGCACTTCAAATTAAGTATGTCATACCTATGTGAAAATGTGTTGCTACGCAGAACTGTTCCAAAGTCTCAAATGTCTCATTTGATCAGTATATCCAGATGAACACAAAGCCAGCAATACTAGTGAGGAGTAAATGACTACCTTAGAAGGTACACATGCTGTGGCCATGATAACATGATAATCTTAAATTACTCATATCCAACTGCTTGATAACAAGCCTGGTACACAGTCAGCTTGCTGCAAATACTGAGTAACTGACTTCAGGTGTCTCTTTTCTCTTAGCAGTTTTTTTAATATTAGTGCCTTTGTGAATACCTAGCATAGCGAGTGAGTAAAGATGCTAACACCAAAAATGCTGCCAAGAGCAACAAGTCACTTCAGAGGCAAGTTACCCAGTATTCATTACAATCCAACCACCTCTTTCTGAGCTAGCGATGGTCATAAAGTACTTGAGCAGCTGTGGTGTTAGGCTGAGTAACTTGATCGTGCTGGCTCACTTTAATTGTGTGGCAAATAAAACTTTGATTTCATGATCATAACCCTGGAGTTCTCATATTTCAGTGACTTCTGAAATGCAGTGGTAGCACACATTTTTACTGTTTTGAACTTGTGCAGTAGGATGTTAAGCCTATGTGATACTCTGGAAGTTTGAATGAAGTATTCAGCAGAACAAGCTTTCTTTTGGATATATATGGTAATAATTACAAATGAGTAGCTATCAGGATATTTTACTGAGGATTATTTTATTGCTTAGAACTAAAATTTTGATGCTACTTTTTCAAAAACTCTACATTTGCTTTAGTGAGTCAGGGTGGATAATTTGCCCCTTGACCTGAATGATTCGTTAGTCCTTATACAGATGTCATTAATATTAACACTTTCCATCAACCCTTTTTACTTTGTTAAAACTATAAAAAAGGTTTATTTTGAATTAAAGCTGCTAACAAAATACTGGGGATTAAGCTTCTGTACTTTAAGTCTTAATATCAGCTGGGACAGGTTATTTTTCACTGTCTGTGCTATATAAATGCAAATTATTTAAAGTAATCTTTTAGTTTTATGCAGGTATATGGGAACAAATAAAGCTTGAGAGACATGGGGACGGAGTTTCTCCGAAATACTGCATCTGTAACTTGTTTTAGGATTTTGATACCTTGGTACAAGGTTGGCTTGTTTCATTCTTCACAAGCTCTTCTTGTCCACAGAAACCTATTGCCTGTAACTGCTGTTATTAACTCTAGTTGTATGTCTCACACTGGTAGCATTTCATAACTATATGAAAATACACTCTGGATGAATTCTGCTTTTATTTGACTCTTGCAGTCTGCACTGTTTGCTTGATCTGACTTCTAAACATTGAGCATGTCATGGCCGTGAAAACTTTGTTGGGCAAGGTGTCTTGAAAAGGCATAACTTTTCACTTGATTTCTAATTTGTTTGGAAAACAAGCAGCATTATTGATTTGGTGAAAGTCTTATGATGTATGGCATGGCTGGAGGAATTTGTTTTCTGAAAGGTAGAGAATTGAATGGCCCTTCTTGCATCAGAACATGTTGCTGGGAGGTAAGGGTTGAAAATGTAAAAGATGTGCCCTGAGGCTCAAAACAGGGGGAAATCTGTCCCGTCTTTAAGCCCTGGAAGTCCTGATAGAGAGAATGTTTTTAAAATGCTTCTGTGAAGAACGGAAGAGATAACACATTCTAATTTAACATTTTAAGATACCTCGAAGGTATCTTTAAGAGGGACATGTGAAACTAGTTTTGATGGGATTATTATAAAACCTTTTTTTGAATACTTAATCTTTTTAAAATGTTTTTTCTAAATATAAATCTTTGACCAGTCCAGTCTTTTGACACTCCCAGCTGTATGTTTCTGATTCTGTGCAGGGTCATAAGACACAAAGGATGTAATCAACTCTTTTGTTGTTTTCCTAGCTTGAAATTACAAATCTGGTTAACAATGATGGCAAAAAGGGTTGACAAGTCCAGGTTCCTGTACTAGGGGCCGTGGTGGAGAATGTTGCATTTTTCCAGCGCTTTATATCGGGTTATAAAAGCTTTTCAGTTTCATCTAGTGATGGGGTCTACTTTAGTGTCACAAAACATGGGAATGAAAAAAAATACAGGCTAAAGAATAGTCCAGCCTATGTAATTTCTGTTTTGTCTCCAGAAAATTGTTACTGATAACTTACTACGGTATTCTGCCAGCACTGATTAAAGGGTAGAAAGCTGCAGTACTGCTGGTAGCTTAATCTTCAGAATTTTTGCTTCAAATAGTAAAACTTGCACAAAAAATTGAGTATAAAGCTAAATTGTATAGAAGGGAAGCTGTAGTTAAGCTCTTAAAGGAACAAGTTGCATAGCATATAAGCCATGAGCAATAGGAGTAAGACCTAATATTCTAGTAGTTTCATTTTTTCAGTGTGAAAATCACTACCTTCTTTGGAAGTGGTAAAGAGAAAATAAGCTGTATCAGATTTCACTTAGTGTTTGTTAAAGTCATCACTGCTTCACTGCTCTGTTTTCCTTTGCTTATACTACATTAGAACCAGAAAAGTTAGTTTATGTAAGTTAATGAGCATGTTGAATTCAGTTGCTTCTACTAAACTTGTGTATCGGGAAGAGTAACTTGCAGTGTTTTGTGGCAGCAGCAGAGGTGAGAGTTAATTGCTTAGCAAAGTAGATTTTCCCTTTCTGAATGTCCCAACAGGAGTGACACCATGATGGGTGGCTATTCTTGAGACGGCCAGGTTGAGAAACTAGTGGAACAATTACTTGTGGGAGTGTTGGAAAGAGAAGGAAGATCGTTGCAGAGCAGGAGTGTGTGGAGAGAGTCTGTATGGGCACTGAGCTGAATGGGGCTCTGAAGGCAGATTAGCTCGGATGAGCTAAGACCAGAACAATTCAAAACTCAAAAATTCTACTGGAATAAAAACTAGAATCTTAATTTGGAACTTGAAGCAAATAGGTCAGAATAGATAATGAAGATGTGCACACAACTCCACCCATCCCCATCTTTGCAGAGATGTCTTTTTGGTTATCATTAGTTCAGTGATTTTGTGTTGCAGGAAAGCTGACTTGACTGCCCGAGCCTCAAAAATGTTTTCTCCAGCTCCTCTGAGGCCTGCCTGGCTGCCCTCTGCTTTTCCTTACAGCTTTGGAGAAGCTTCTAGCACTGTGCCATAGCTCTGTGGTCTTCCTTTCTCCCCTAAACAGGCTCAGTAGCTCCCTAAGGAAAGGAATAGTCTTCCCGCAAGGGCTTCCTTCCTCCATCCTGTGTTTTTTAATAAAATTGCGAGTAGAGCATATTAGAAAGGTGGAGGGGCCTGGAGGAACCCTAGTAGTCGTGAAGGGGATACCTATACGTTTAGATGGGTCTGCTAGAAGCATCTTTAAGGCTAAACTTCTTCCATGCATGTCATGGCAACTGCAATGGAAGGCTGAAGTATGCTTCTTCCCAGGAGTTGCTGATGAGCAGCATTCTCAAGGGGTGGAAATGAGGCTTCTGAGAAAAATTAAATATAGCTCCGTTGCATTACATATCTTAGTGTTGTAAAAGATGTCCTGACAGATAGTGACAGGCATTGACTTTGGAATGAAGACAAGTAGAAAGGGGTGCAAAAGGTGGTAACCAAGGAACCCTTATGAGGTGGTTGTATTTAGCTACCAGCCAGTTGCTCTGTGGGAATAATGTTATACCAGTCACCTTTACTCAGTAGCACTATTGATCTAAAAGCCTGCATTCATATGCCTGGTACTGCTTTTTTATCATAATGGCTTGTTTTCACAGCAGCTGTCATTTTAGTTTTATATGCAAATCACTTCATTCATGTTGGTGTAATTGAAATACACTTGATCTTAGGGTGACGATGATCAGCAGTTGAGGGAGTTGCTGCGTAAGTTACACTTCTGCTGAGCTGTAGCAGCATTCAGGGCTGCACTCTGCACATAATTTTTCCAGAACTTTCTCTGATGGCAGAGTGGTTTAGTTTCTTTGCAATGCAGCCGTTGACTGGTGCACCCTCAACTGTACGCATGTATCTGGTGCTGCGCTGTTCACTGCAGCATCGAATTCTCCAAGTTTCAACAGTGCATCAGAACTGGGAACAATTGTAGGTGAAGGTGGGGTTTGCAGCTTTCTTCATGTAGCTACACTTGAGTTATGCCTTGCAAGGTGTAAATATGTCTTGTTCTGAGATCAGCGTGCTTTATGGAGGTAAAACAGGCTTTACCCATGCTTCAGCTGATGAGCAGCGTTTCACAGGTGTTCGTGTTATGACTAGGACTGCAGAGATTGTTCAGGTCTGCTGAAATCTGTCCTTGGCATACCAGAAAGAGCCATGCTGTGCAGTTATCGTATTATTGGTTGTTTGTCTTGCTCATAGGCACAGCAGAAGGCAATGTGTCCCGGGATGATAGGTGATGGAATTGGAAGTGGAGACTTCCTCTGGATCAAGGGGACCTGTGGATCGCTAATCACATTTAATACAGCTGCAGGTTTTTCCCAAGATTAAATTCTTACCAGGAATATTTTTTAAAAACTTCAGCAAAGAAATGGGAGTCACTAATTATGACCACATCAAAGCAGATTTGTGTTCTTGCAGTGGGCTGTTCCTAGTGCTACAAGCCTCTGCACTGAACTAACAGTTCTCCTCACCCAGTCTGTGGTGACTCCTCCACTGTTTCCCTTCCGCTGGCTCTGTCACACTCTGCTTCCAGTACCGATGATGATGATGTCTTTGCTGGGTCTATTCTAGGCTTCTCGAATAGTCTGAAAAAGCTGCCATCTGTCTCTGTCCCTTTTTAAATATTAACTTCATGAGGCTCTTGAAGCTACTTTGATTGCAGAGTGCTTTGATATGCATGTGAAGTGTCAAGACACTAGAGAGAGACTGTTACTTTTAATATACCTGTTAATGCAGTATGTCTCCAGATGAGTCTGTTTTCCCTCTGACTTGAAGCAGTGATATTGTATATAGCAGCACTGCATGTTAACAGCTGTTCAAACAAACAGTTACTTCTGTCCCCACCACAGTATGCATCCAAGGCAAAGAGCTGTTGTGGATTCTTGCTTCATAACCCTAAAATTCTGTGCAGCGATGACAACAGCGTCCAGACAGTGACTTGAGTGCGGCTCGTATGCACATGTGCTAAAGCAGCTTTCTTGGGGGATAGACAGGGTAAGGTGGGAGCTCTCTGAGGCTCCATTTCAAATTGCTCTTGTTGGTATTGTAATGGAGACTGTAGGTATGCTTTACACTGTTTATTTAGATACTCTGCGTTAGTTTGGCATTGCTGTTTGAATTGTTCCTTTTTTTTTTTAAAAAAGGGTGCTTTGATTTACTAGGTGGGCTGAAACCTCCAGTTTCAGATATTTCAGCCCACTTACTCAAGACAATACTCATATTGTGGAGACTTGACAGGGCAACAAGCATTGGCGGGGCGGAGGAAAGTTGGCAAACTTCAGCTTCTAGGAGACCCTGTACAAAACCCAGAAGGCGTAGGCAGGAGACCGCACAGTGGGATCAAGAACATTCAACTTTGCAGCTACGCCAAGCTGTTGGACAACTTAAGAGTATGATGAACAGGTCACTGCAGTGTTAGCTATTTCCATGCTCATCGCTGCAATGAAAGATGAAGCTTCATAGGACTGTTAGTATTTGGGGAAAACCACCTCAACCAGAGGACAACACAAATTTTACTCAATATATTAGTACTGTCCAGTAATTGTGTCTTAACTGCAACACTAAGGACAAAGTGAAGCTCTGAAGGCAGGTCAGTGTGCTCTGTTTGGTACGTGTGGTGCTTGGTAGTACATTATTCCCACAAGAGCCCTAACACTGTTTGCTTTTGCAGTTGCATAATACAAACACTGAGTAAGATTCCTCAGCTCACAGTGCATTGGCACTACATGAATCTGAGGAAGAGAAGCAATTCTCATCACTATTAGGGACTGAATGTACTTCCTGACTGAGGACTAAGATAGGCTGGTAGCTATGGAAAATGTGAAAGCAACACAGTGAACTTCTAGCTAAATTCTCATTATTTAAGTTTCCTATATTCATAAGCTTGGCTCTGTGTGTTCTAGCCCCCAAAGTTTGGTTTTGGTGTTTGTTTTTTGGTTGTGGTTGTTTTGTTTTGTTTTTAATCCAGGTAATTTACCTCATAATATTTACCTTTAGAAAATTGATCTTGCTGCTTGGAAACTGGGTAAAATGTCTTATAATAAGTTCAAACTTAGCTTTGATGCTAATTGTATTTTAAGTGTTTTCTGTTACCACAAATTACAGTTGCCTGGAAGTCTCTTAGAAATGCATGTAAAAACCCTTTTCACTCTTCCCTTTTAAGGAAGTAAAGGAGAAACTGCTGCATCCAATGTGAGGAGAATCTTGAAATTTTAAAGTAAATTTCTGAGTTTCGTTATCTGCAATACACTAGTTAAAAGTACAGCCACCTGATCTAGGCTTTTACTGCTACTTTAAAGCCTGTAACTAAAGTTCTTTTTCTTAGTGCCTTGGCTGATGGTGATCCCTTCCTTGGTGTATAATTCTGACATTTTTATGTATTTCTTTTTTGTTCTAGCTTTTACAAAACTGATCACAGTAAATGGCCAAGAATATCACCTTCAGCTGGTTGACACTGCTGGTCAAGTAAGTTATCTTTTTTTCTTTGGATCTTTCTTCAGAGTTAAAACAACAGGTATTCATACTCCTGTCCAGCTAAGTTGGTAACAACCATGCGTTCAAAGGTGAAGGTTAACTTAAATGATTCTGCCTTATTGTTTAGTCACTAAAGAGCAATGTTTCTGTAGTGTTTATTTAAAGGCTTTGTTTTGGTTTTTTGTTTGGTGGTGGGGTTTTTTTTTTTTCCTGTCTGTTGAACGTATGTCTAAAAAAGTGAAGAAGGAACTGCTTTAACTCTGATGTACCAAAAGTTCATAAGTAGCGTGCTTGATATTTACGGACTAAACAAGCAGTCTTGCTTTAGATGGGAAATGTCACTTCAGTAAACCATGGAGAAGTTTTTTATGACTTTTTCCTATTTGTGTGCTCCAGCTACGCCACTGTGACTTGTATCCACGAAGTAGTCATGGGGAATAGATAGAAATGCATATAGGTAGTAGTTACTGGGCTACCAATAAACTACTGCAGTTTGTTTACATTTTTATGTGATGGTTCGTGCGTGCTTCTGAGCCTTCACATAATGACAGGGAGCACAGGAGGAGACAGTGAACGCATGTCCTGTAGTATGGTCAGTAGCTTCATTAAGTACGGGTGTTCATTATATGGTGCTGCTTGGCTGAACTTGCGCTGCATGTTCCATGCACAGGAGTGCTCTGTCTTTGGAAAGACTCTGTGTTAGGAAAAAAAAAAACAGAACAGGGACTGTTAAACCCCTGTATTTTTATCCTAAACTTTTTATTGCTTACATTTTCTTGCCTTCCATGATTTCTGATATTATGCCTTTAGGTTTTTTCAAACTGAGTAGTGTTAGACGATGTTGGTGGTGTAAAATACGCTGCCAGTACTTAAGACTTTAAAGCTTCAGGATGCTTGCTCATAGCTGGGAGACTATTCAGAAGGGTTGTAACCTTCTAGGTATGTTTATTGCTTTCTTTGAAGAGAGCTACGTGTTTTAAGAATAACCATGCTGTATTTATATGGTGTCAGCTTGTGGTGCTAATCAGCAACACTATATCCACTTACAATCTGTCAGAGGTGTCGGAAAGGATTAGAAACACAATACTGGCCACACGTTCTGGGTCAAGATTGTTTGATGGGGAATGTTCTGCAGAGGAGAGCAAGGTTGAGAGATGGGCAGGGTGAGAAGTGTGAGCAGCTCCATAGGTTTCACTTTGTGCCAATATGAGTGTGCTTGCCTTACATCTCCAGTTGTAGTGTAGTGATAAAAGTAAAATTTCTCTTTGAGGAAGAAAGGGCCTTCTGGGAGGGCAGTGTAACTTCACTGGTGACATACCTCTATTGCTGAGGTTTATTTTTAGGGTTGATTTAATGTTATACAGTATTGTAAAACCAAAACAACTTCTTTCCCAGCATGTGGTTATTTTCAGATTTGATTCTTCCTGTGAATGACTTGAACTTTGAGTTCTGACTCACAGGCTTAGAGGGGAGAGCTGATGTTGGGTTATTGAAGGTGTGGCTTGGACAGATTTCTAGTATGAAGTTTGTCTTGCTTGATGATCCATAGGGAGTCCTTATGTGTATACAGCATGGCAAGAATTATATTGTAGGTTTGTTACGTGCTTGAAAACTTGTCTATGACTTGAAAAGTTACAGCTACATTGTTTTATCACTTGGCAAAGCTCTTAACTTGACCCTCAAGTTCCAGGAAGCATAGCAGCTTTTCTTCCTTCCTCTAACAAGATAAAAATTAAGTAATGAATTAGAAACAGTTGAGGTTATGGCACTTACTTTTCTTGGTACTCCTCTTCTGTCCTGTGCCTCTTTATCTTTCATGGTTATCTATACAGCTTTGCGTAGTTTGGTTAAACAGGAGTCTTGGTACAGGATCACAGAAGAGGAGTGCAAAAGGAAATCTTACCCAACACCAAATTCCAGCTGGGGCAATCCTGAGAAATTCCAGGTAAAGTCAAACAACTACAGAGTTGCACTTTCACCTGTTTTACACGCAGACTAGCTCAGATCCCTTCTGTATTGACTTTGGGATTACATGGCCAACTGAAGTGGCAGTTTGGCATTTTAGTGAAGATGGGGGAGGGCTGCCCTCACTGTGTAGCAATAAAGGCAAATAAGGGCATCTTTTGTCAAGTGCTCTTCTTCAGACTATTTTGGCTGAATCTGTGAAGTTGATTTATAAAGGGTTTTTCCTCATTTACCAGCTGAGGAAGTTTGATTCCTTTTGGCTGTCTAGATTTAAGCTGCATGATTGCACTGCTCCATCTGTTCAGTCATGACAATATACAGAGAGGTTATGTGGTCTTAAGCTAAAATTAACATCTTGAGAAGCATAGGTTTAAGAATTTGAGAACTCGTACATTAAGAAGTGTGGCTCTTGTGAAAACGTAAATGTTTCTTGGGAATATGTATTAGAACAATTTAGATTTTTAACATGGGATTTGTACTATTTGTGTTGCGTTACCTGCAATATGTCAGTCTGTTTCATTTACCTATTTGGTCAGTTCCTTTTCTACAGGGGTAATAAGTTCCTGGTGTTTTGTTTGTTTCTTTTAATTAAACACTTGTCATATAATGTAAACTTCTAGTTGTCATAAAGCAACTAATAACTGTATTTCTTGCATCTGTAGTTGGTGAGCATTAGTTAGTTAGTAAGCCACAGTTAATTCACTTCCTAACAAATCCCTTAGGTAATTTAGATGTGATCAGTGTCACTTGAAATTACGAACTGGTAGATCCTGTCGTCAGCTGTTGAAATTAGGAATTTGAAATGTATCACCAGCAAGATAAGAAGCGTAATTGCTAATTAGTGGTAGGACAGAGTGGATGTTTTGTACTAATACAAACTGATAATTAAGCAGGATAAGAGGATTGGGAATAGCTTTAGCTGATCCATAGTCTTAGAGGGAATAAACCAAAAAAGCTGTGGATTAAATTTTAGAGTATACAGACTGGCTCAGCTTTCTCTTAATTTGGTAAAGATTCCACATCTGACATTATGATGAAAAAACTTAATTCTGAAAGTACTACCTATACAAAATGGCCCTGCACCTCACATCTTACGAATATGACCAACTTCTCTGGTAGTGACCTGCTAGCATCAAGTTCTGAACAGTGACAGTAAGTAATTTTAAATGCAATATTCCTTCTACAGGATGAATACTCCATATTTCCTCAGACGTACTCCATAGACATCAATGGCTACATTCTTGTTTATTCAGTCACGTCAATAAAAAGGTAATAAAATCTGTTGTGTTCTTCTGGTTCATATATTAACCAGATATATTCTGGGTTCACCTCCTGCCTCTGCTATACTTTCTTTACATGTGTTTAATTCATTTAATCTTTCTTTCCCTTAGAAGTATAATGGAAATTAAAATTAATGTTTTTTCAGAAATTTCCCCTCAGATCCAAATGTCACAGACACTTTGCAGATTAATATGCAGGGTACCGTGTAAGAAATGAGACAGTGCTGAACTACGTTGTTTGAGGTGTAAGTAAAAGTACGTAGAATGATTTCAGGAATAAGTAGACTTTATTGTTCTAGCATCAGATACAAAGGCATACTTAAATATGAACCTGAAGGGCACTGTACATTTATGTGAAGTACCCAATTAGTTGCTAGATCAGTCCCTCAGCCTTGTAGCTCACTGCTGTACTGAGATTTCTTTGACTTCTTGTCTTGGATTGTCCTGGTTAACCATGAGAAATTTTTATATAAATAGCAATATATGACTTTTGGCCTGTAGACTTACTTTTGACAAGCTGCAGCAAATAATCTTACCTGAAAATTTTCCCAGAGTATCTATTTTGTCCTTGCTGTTAGCTGCTCATTCTCACATGAGGACAGAGTCCATTGTAGCTGGAGTTAATTTACTTGCAGGACGCATCTCAGCCTTCTTCTAAGGCATTGTTATCTTCTGTCATTTTGTCTCTTTCTCTGGTCATCTTGCTTAGTTTAAATACTGGTCATTCTTGAATAGATCTTAATTTTCTAATATTGTATAGCGTCTTTGTTTTGACAGCCAAAATAGTCCTATTTTCTTAAATTTTTGTTTAAGTAAAATGATTAAGACCTTAGACCTTTCACTCTCATCAAGTAGAAGAGAAGTTGATGCTTCCTTTCTACTTGCAAGGAAGCTCCTCAGCTTTTTATGAGTGCTGAAGTGTTCCATGTCTTTTCCTCTGAACCGGACAAAACTGGTTGTCTCAAGTGTTCTTTAGTAGACCATAATAAAATACAGGCAAAACAACTTCCCTGTTAGCTCTTGTGTGCTTCTCCAAGAAAGGATACAGTCTGGTTATAAACTTCCATTGCTTGCAAGGTCTTTAATGTTGAACATGTTTTCACAGTCCTTCATTCTTGGTTTTCTTCTTTAGTTCTGAAGTAGCGAAGGGCAAGCACGTGTGTTCTGGAGGAAACGCAACAGATGTTAGGCTTTCATGTGTGTCTAGAGATACTAAGCTAACTTCAGTTCCTTCCGTTCCTTCCTTTCCATCAGAGGTTCAGTGTTGGTGCTAACTCACATGAAATAGGAGTTAGTATTCTCAGCCTTAAGTGGACAATGTTCATTGATAAGTAGTACTGTGAGGACAAAAATGTCTTTGACTAAAATCAACATAGACCAGTTGGAAGCTTCTACAGCTTGTGCTATTCCCTGGTTGGCAGCTAAAGGACATGATCTTTTTCAGCTACTCCAGTTGTTGCCTCAGGATGTCTTGAGCTTAGCAGCACAAATGAGGAAATGAAAATCTGTTTCCTGTGGTAGCATTCGATCAGTTAAAACAGAAACCAAATTATGGTGAAAATACTGACAGAACAAGATATGTTATGACTGTAGGTAGATAGTCTTCATCAGTATTTTAGTCTTGATCAATTTATTCCAAGTTTTTTTCGTTTCTTCCTTTAAATTTCAAAGTATCAATGATCCTGTTTTGTTCAATTCCTTATGTTCTGTATCAAGACAGTATTTAGGCAAGAGGAAAGATCTTCCACAGTACTGTGGTAGCTTAGATGACTTGCCCAGGCAATCAAATTACAGTCACCATCTGTCTTGACTTTGACAAAGTGTGTATATTGATCTGAGTATTGAACCAGCAGGGGTGAGAGCTTTGACAGCAAACTTAATAGAAATGCCCTTTTAAAATTATCATCTTCCCTGCTAACCTCCAGTGGGAAGTTTAAATGGGACTAGAGTAAAAGCTAATGCCCTACATTTTTCATATTCCCAGGCTCTCAGCAGCAAGGTTACTGGAAGGCTTTTGCTCTAGTTCAGCTTAATTAAATTCCAATTTTGTATCTTGCTAGGTTCCATGATGTGTAACACGTTTATCTGACAGCTAGTCAGGTTTTTTTTTGTTGTATTTCACACATTATGCTGTTTGCTGTAGCCCTATTTGCTTGACAGAACCGGAAAGAACCTCTTATGGTCTCCAAATCCCTCACTATTTTGCGACTTGATGTGATAATGCTCTCTTTGGATTGGTCGATATCTGTCTTATAGTGTGTCCCTGCTCCTTCTAGCCTTATTAATTTGAAAAGCTTTCTAGAACATTAAATTGATCTGGTCAAGCCAATTTCATTCCTGGCAGTTCTTAGCAACTTGTTTCTGTGTCAGAATTGTGTTTGAGTTTAAATAGCACTTCTCTTGATTTCCACCCTGATCTGTTGACAAAGATCAGTTGTTTATTTGTGCTATTTTTACTAAAAGTGGAGCTCGTGAACTATCCTAGGCAAGCAGATAGGTACACAGAATTGGGGAATGAAGAGTCCAAGTTGAAGAAGAACACTTTGCAGGATTGTGCCCTGGAACCTCAGGTGAGGACTCGCCAGAGCGCTGTGCCATGGCATGGTGTTTTTCGGGCTATGCTGGGAACAGCACACCTAATAGTGGAAAGGAAGCAGTGATTGTACTATGTTAGTGGTTTGGTTATCCTGTGGCTAGTATGCTAGATCTTTACTGTTGCTTCAGACTGAGAAACAGTTCTGTGGTCTGTAGCAGATTTTTTTCTATAGCATTTTTATTCTTCTTTCAGTTTGCAGGATCACCTGTGTACCAATGCCTCTTAACTTTGTCACAACCAACCTCCATTTGATTCTTTATTTTTTAAATAATTATAAGAATGAAAGTCCAAGACAAGTTCTCAAGACCAGAATTTCACTAATACCTTTTCAGCATAAGCTCATTGTAACCCTAAAGTCCTTTCACTGATTCCACATTTTTATGTAATCTGTAGTGTCGTACTTAAGTTACTAATAGTAAGTTGTGCCAGACTGTCACGCTTTTATTTGCAAAGAACTCATTTTCTTGATAGGATATACTAAAACTATTAGCTGAACATGGAGAAGTATTGTGTTCTACTCAGTTGCGAAAACTATTGGAAGTCAGACAAATTGATCTACTTGACAGAAAATCCTTCTTAAATATGGTAGCATTTATTGTTCCAGAAGTGAGAAGTTTTAATGATTCAGATAGCTTGAATAGTGTTTTTAGGCACCAGTTCTTTGAGAGCTCTGAGTTGGAAGTGTGTTTGAGTGCCACTCTGTTTTTAAGAGTTTCAATTCTAATTGAAATGCAGTGCAAGTGAAGACACTGCCTGTAGCTAATGACCTTGGAAGTTGGAGAAGTTTTGGTCACTTTTTTGTTGTCTAGTTGTGTGTCTTGTCTGTGAGCCTGTGTGCCTCTCTCAAAACAAATCTGAATTGTGTACTTCATGTACCAGCATTTTTTCCATAATGTAATTAGAGGAGCACAACATCTGCTCTTCAACCCTGTTTATAGCTTGTTCTCAAAAGTACTAGATGTCAAATGCAGTGGATTTTGTTAGTGAGGTTTTTGGCTTCTTAGTATTTCACAGTACTGCTTCTTACCTCCTGTCATCCAAACTTGACGTACATGGTAGCTGAACAGGCAACAAGTATTTGAATAACCAGTTTCGATACCATCTTGCAGATCAGTTTACTCACTTTCCATAGAAAATTAGAATTTAGGCTTCTTTTGGCTTTCACATAAATAAAACTAAAGAATTCTATATGAACTAAGTGTCCTTAAAAAAATAATGTATTCTTTCAAGATGGAGTGTGATTAACTAAATAATTTTTCTTTGAAACTGCTCTAATTTGATATGCTCATCCAGGATTGTTGGACTCCAGCAGTTAAATTTCTTACTGCAGATACAAACCAGATGAGAGGTGGGAGAGGCTTTTAGTGATTCTATGCTAGATGCGTTGGTCCTGGGTAATGTTATTTATTTCTGCAAATATCATAACTGGGGAGGCATAGGTTAGTCTTTGCTGCTTCTGGAACCATTTTGTCTGTTGTACACAAATCGGTAAGACTTTCAGCATCTTTGTAGTTCTGCCACTATACATAGAGTAAGTTTTAAACACAGCAACCTACATATGCATTTAATTGCTTGTGTATCGGGTATTAAGGATAAACATTGGAGTGCATGTGTGACTTCATCCCTTTATTTTGCAGTTTTGAAGTGATAAAAGTTATCCATGGCAAGTTATTGGATATGGTGGGAAAAGTCCAGTAAGTAGTGACACTTTCATCTCATTTCATTGCAGGCATGTTACTAGTACTTTGTTCAGTATACTGTAACTGTTCTGAAGTTCTGAACTTTCTTTCACAGAATACCCATTATGCTGGTTGGAAATAAAAAAGACCTGCATATGGAACGGTATGTGAACTCCAGTATGTGTGAAATGCAAGACAGCAGCCGGCATTCCTGTGGCTGCAAAGCGCTAGTTTTGTTCTTGGCTTTCTGTAACTAAAATCAAATTGTAGGTTAAAATAAGGTACTGGCAAAGTATTTGTGTCCAGAATGCGAACTAGGAGCCATGAACTTTTGTTCTAATGTTGACTTTTGCTATAAGGTTCCAGGGATGGTCATTTAACACTTCAGGTTTTTTTTTAAATAAGTAACAGAAGTGTATTTTTCACAACTGTAAAATACCAGATGATATTACAGATTATGAAAACAAAGCAATACTGTGGGACAACTGCTCTTCTGGGTCACATAGCAGTTTTACCTGGCCCAGTAGTGTATTTGACAACAGCCAAAAGCAAATGCTCTGGATCAGACTTCACAAAACATTCCTATTACATGCATTTATGTGCTTCAGTACTCTGAGGTCTTTCCTGATGTATCAAATTCCAATTCTTTTGCAAGTTATAAAGAAACATACTTTTTTTTTTTTCTTCTTCTTCTTTGTTCAGGGTGATCAGCTATGAAGAAGGGAAAGCTTTAGCAGAATCCTGGAATGCAGCTTTCTTGGAGTCTTCTGCTAAAGAAAATCAGGTAACGGATTTAAGATTCACTTCATTCGAATAGCAATGTAATGGAATGACTCATAGTTTCACTTAATAAAGGAAGCTAAAATATTTGCATGTATTCTACAGATATTTTGTGTGGATGGTTGGAAACAAAATGGCTGTCTACATTCAGGTTTATGTATACAAGTTTTTCCATGCAACTGTAAATGGAAGGAGGAAGTGAAGAACTGAAAGTTAAGCTTCACTGAACATAGCAGAACACTTACTGACAAACTAAAACTCGAATCCACGTGGTGGGTGGAACAGGGTCTGTGATCTGCTGCACTTACCTTAAATAGGGGGTCATTGTGTTGGCAGAGGAGTGAGTTGGTATAAAGGAACGAACCTCACGTTTTAAGGTGCTAGGCAATGTTCTGTCTCTCTAATGTGGGGAACAATTGTTTTGTGGGTCTATGGTGGGGGGTGGGGGGAACAAACAAAAATATTAAGAGTACAGCAGAGGCTGTCAGACACTATTGTGATACAGCTGTAGTGAAGATGCACAATCTGACGCAATATAACCTGCACACGTTTACACTTGTTGGTTTCCTATCACAGAAAGAAAGTGTTTAATTATATGTTAAATAACATCATATTCTTGGTTGCTCTAACTAACTTTCTTTTAAAATGCCTCCTAAATATGTTCTGGTATTTGAATTTGTTCCTGTGGCTGTTAATAATATTTTGTCATTGATTTGACACCTTATGTATCTAAGCTACAAGAGCCTCCTAGTTTGGGCTTGAAGTAATGGAAAACTGCTGCAGATTGGGGTGGGAGGTGTCTTTTTTTTCCTCTCTCTCTCTTTCTTTTTTTCCTTTCTATTTTTTTTTCCCTATAGGTCTCAACAGGGTCAAAGCTTTTGCTTTTTGAAAATACAGACATATGATAAGGTCAAAAGGACATTGTCAGGCTCGTTTTAAACAGATGAATCCTTATACAGAAGAAATGCTTACATTGTGTCATATTTAACCTAGCATACCGCATCCTTGGCCTCCTTGATAACATCAGCACAATCAAAAGGGCAATCCTATAGCTAGGACAGGACCTGTTTAAGCAGCCATTCTTTCTGTCTACTGTCCCCAAAAGCAAAACAGATAGCTTTTATCCCATGTCTGTTGTCAACAATTCTACAAGTTACTTGAGTAAAGTTGGATTTTCCCTGAAAGAAAAAATTGCATTTTTTTTCTCCAGATATGGAACAGTTGGAGTTAGTTTATCAGTACTTCTGTATCTGTCTAAGACTTGAATTAACCTTGTCAAAATTGGGCATGATGAAAGTATGAAATTTCTCAATATCTTCTCTGTACTGCTGGAAAGCTTCAAAGGCATACCCAGGGAGACTAAATTGACAGTCTAAAGAATAAACCAGTTAAAAGCATCTGATCCTCCCCCCCCCTCCCCCCCCTTTATTTTAAATGACTTAATACCTCTGGATTAGGCAAAGCTATTGCCTGTATTCTTTTTCTTTTGGCATATGTTTGCAATGTGTAACAGCGTAGCAATTGATATCTAGCAGAATATCCTACTGATAACTTTTCTGAGGTTTGTATTGTTCGTGGTTCAAGAAAAAAAAGTTGAGTATATTTATGCAAAGAAGCTGTGAGCTGTATATGATGCTTGGCATATCTTGCATATTAAATTGCTGCACTAACAAAGTCCCATTGACTGCCATGTATTTGTGCCTGTTCCTTAGTCTCAGGCTGTCTATACTAAGTTATGCTGCCAGCTGAAATTTTCGTATCAAACTTTGTAGGCTTCAGAGAAATCAGAATGGCAGTTGTATGTCAGATATTCAAAACTCTGTACAGTCCTGTACAAATACCATGAAAAATCAGAAGCTGTGTTCATTCTTGCTGTCAGAGGTGTTCTTACCAGGTCTTCATTTCAGTAGGATCCTTCAGAATAGTGATGGCAGGTTGCTGTAAAATCTTATCACTGGATTTAGACGCAGGTTGTTAGAAACAGGTGCTTGAACACAATTCTTCCTTCATGCCTCCTACATAATACACTTGGTAAATTAGTCTGGCTTCAGAAGGCCTCAGAAGTTTGGGAGATCATATGTCACTTCTGAGATGGGTGCTCACAGCATGTGACCATCTTTCAGGCTCTCTGGTGTGCTTCCTTTGGAGGTTTGGGATGTATGGAAGAAAGTGTGAAGGAGCCCAAAACTGGGACGGGTGTCTTAGTCTTCTTGCAAATGGTTGCAGAGGAATGCTCACCTCTGAAGAGGTGTAAGATTGAGCTTTGAGAGCGAAGTGTGGAGTCTGGAGCTGTGAGGTGCTAGGGGGAAACAGGAGATGCCAGGCATTGTAGCATCCCTTCTTATGAGTTAGACAGGAGCACTTTTGAGCTGATCTGGGGTTTTTTCCTCCAAATCCTAATTTGGCAGGATCAAAACAGACCTCTATCAACACAGGATATCTTCTCTTACTCCAAAACTGTCCCTGGTTTGGGGGGAGAGGGTTTATTTTGAACTTAGTAACAAGGCGTGTTGTCTTTCTCCTGGTACTGAACATTCACCTGATGTAAGCCAGCATTACTGGAAAGAGAAGTCTGTCGGCACTTTTTTGCTTGGAGGTTCATCCAAATCATCACCTGTACTGGCTTGGTACAGCAAATGTAACTTGCCTATGAAGATAAAGTCTAAACTCTTTCCAAAACTGCTTCAGATTCTGTTTGCTTTACAGAAAGCTAATTTGATGCTTAAAGGGATGAGCTGGACTGGATTGGGAATTTAGAGCTTAAGAACTTCAGCAGAGACATCAAACCTTCCTGACTAGGAGGAAGTCCGTTAATCCTTTATGTCTGAATCCTAGCCATCTCTATTTGGTAGGTGTGGAGCAAAAGTATGGCAATTTCTAGTATGCTGGTCTGAAATTGGTTTGCTATGTGATGTTCTTTGCAGCAGCAAGGAGTATGTCTACTTGCTAGATGGGTTAGACCAAACTCGATCAATCAGCGATGTGGTCTGTCCTTTGTAACACCTCTGTTTGCAAGGAACTGCTGAAACCAGAGAAGATACTCCTATAACAGGTTTTGATAGCAAAGGTCCTTTTCCCCCTACAAGGGGGTGGGAGACCATTGACTTCTCCCTGCTTTGGCCAAAAAAAAATCCTTTTGGAGCATCTGTGAGAGTCCTGGGAGCATGGCTGTACTCTATTGGGCAACTAAAATAGTTCTGTAGATTAAGTTCAGCAAACTAGACCTATTCTGCCAGGAGTTATCAAGAGATACCACATTCCAGAAATGGCATGACTTTGAATAGATGGAAAGCGATAGAGGCAAAGATCAAAGCTGTGGTAATGATAAATGGTAGCGGCTGGCAAGAGTTCTTAAGGTCAGATATATTTGAGGCTATGTATCAGCTCCTCCAGACAAGGGTGACCTGGTAGGACTTTTGGAGGAGCCTGCATATCAGCAACACATCAGTTATCAAGGGAAATCCCTGGGATTTGAGAAGGCAATTCTGAGACTTAATGGAAAAGACTTCTTTTAGATTACTGCTGGGCTGTTACTGTCATATCTTCTCAAGCTGCTTAATTATTACCAGATATGTTGAACTGCTTTGGCTAACTTCAGGAGCTTTGAGCCTTTCTTGTGGAATTCCCTGCTTTGTTTCACCTAAGCCATAGTATAGTGCTTCATCTTAATCCCAGTACAATAAAGCGGTAGCTGTTTGAAATACAACCAGAATCCAAATTGGTCTTAAACCCAGCTGAAGCTGGGAGCCAACTTTTACTGGAATTTAGGGAGTAACGAGCAGCCAAGTTGTATTCATCCAGCTACGCAAAATTCATTAGATAAATTTGTTTTAGAAGGGGCAAGGAAGTAGCAAAAAATCTACTTCTCACTCTCTTAGAAAGCAATTGCTTGGGCATTGCTTCTTTTTCAAGAGCAGCTTCATCTTCAAGCTCAGAAGAGGCAGTGCTCAGTAAATGCTTCAGAGTGGTTTGGGATCTTAGCCCTTCTCCAGGGGTCTGACATGTTTACCTGGGAAAGTGTGTTTGGCCTGGCAAAGGATGGAGGGAAAAACCTCTCTTCCTTTACCTGACTATTGTTCAAGTTCCTTTGCCCGGTTCTGTGCCAAGATAAACTAGTAGTATGAGCAGTTGAGAGTTTTGTCTTTGAAATAATAGAACAGTTGCATAGTAGAAAAATACAGCATACCAAAGGATGACTCCGGCGGCTGTGGGCCAGTTGAGCCTCTGGTGTCTCTTGCACGCTGCTAAGCTCTCTAGGCAGCATGTGTTGCCCAGGCTAACATCTATTTTGTTTCCTCAGGGAGAAAGGTAGAAGAAAGCCAGATGGCTTTCTGTAGGCTAGGTGTGACCCACATTCTGTAATTGGACCATATGGAGACAGAGGCATATAAAGTCTGGCTGTGTTCTTTATTCCTTGTCACACAACACAGCTTCCTGCATTGTTTAAAAGCTCATCCGAAAATTCTATAGGATATTTGGGCTGAATTACAAAATCCTGAGCGTTAACTGTAGGACAGTGATTAAACCTTCTTAGTGAATACATATTTTCTGTGAAATGAATTAACAAGCCCTGTGAACTCCTACATCTTAGTGTCTCAGGCAGCATGTTTTTGACAGAGAATTTATAGCTTCTTGGTTGACAGAATAAGTTGTGGAGGTTTTTTAATGGGTGCTTTGAAGCCAGGTTTATCAAGAACTTGTGCATTAAAATGAAACCATTGAAAATTTCAACTCTAAGTAAGGAAACATTGGTGCAGCATATTCGTAAATCAATATATCACCAAGTTTTGGTTAAGGGAAACTCTTCATTAGTGGAACCAGCTTGATAGCAACTGCAGTCCTGACCATGGTTCTCCTAAGTCTTAATTTGCCCAGGAAACATGTTGTATCATTACTGGACTAATGAGCCACTTCTGTCAGATTCTGTTGGGATTGCAGGGAAACTCCATTATACAGAGGAATACTCCATTTCCAGCTGATGAATAGTTCCAGAGATAGTACTGTGCACAAACAGTATAAATATGGAAAACTTTAAAATTCAGTCTGATCTTGTTAAGATTGCTTTAAGATAGTTGTGGGGCTACTTCAGTCAATGGGATTAATTTGGAAGTGTTCCAATTAAGAATTATACTTTGTGGAGGCGGAAAAACATCTGTCAGGTCAGAACACATAAATCACAGGGTGCTCTTCAGCCTGTTGATTAAAATCAACAAAACCCCCTTTTTATCATCTTTCATAATGTGACTGCTTTTATATAATGACTATACTTTCCTTAAGGAGCATATGCTTGAAATTCATGAAACGGATGGCTAGAGGTTAGATAAACTTAAAATGGCATGTCTGAGATCATCAGGAGACCATTTCCAAGTTGAAGATTCACATGCTGAAGTACTGATCATCTGGTGAATCTTCAGCTCAAAAGTACGTAGAGAAGAAAAACACTTCAGAATTGTCCTTGACTGCCTAGAAGTAATTTAAGAAGAATACATCTATACTACAATCTCAGATGCTGCATGTTGTAGTTTCTGCATATTGTGATGGAGGCTAGTGTACAGTTTTTAAACCCTTAAAACTGAGTGAATGCTGAAATACCAGAGTAACAGTGTAAGGTATTTACTACAGGTAGCATTCATGATGTTCTCCCAGATGCCTTACTCTCCCCGTCTTTCTGTGTCCTTAAAGACAAACAATCAAAACCCCACCAAAAACCTAACTACACTTAATCAATCAAATTCTTCTGTAAAATCTCCTGAACCACTTAAGTGGTCTGACATCCTTTCTTAGTGTCTGCTTCAGTTGCAGTTTCCCGTGAAAATAAGTTTGTCTTTCCATCCCAAGATTTTTAACTTGCACTCATTAGCACGTGTGTGTTTGGGGAAGTATCACCCTTCTGAGCTCACGCACTCTGTTTCCTCGCCTGGTGCTTCAGCAGGGAAGAGCCTTTTTCACCAGACTGCTTTATGCTCAGTGTGGAGGGAGGAGATTCGGTGTAGACCAAGCGGAGTTGATAGCAGAACAAGTGACCCCTACTCTGAGGGTACTTGCTGCCTTCCCTCTGAAGGAGTGAAGGGATCCATAGTGCATGTGTGGCTTGTGATTTTGCAGAGGGACTCTGTGTAATCCTGTATGCTCCATACAGTAAGCTAGAATGTATGAGCCTGACCATGTTAGCAATGGCTATCCTATAGTTCAAGCTGTTTAAAATACAAAGCCCCTTACTCTCAGAAGGACTTTATCAAAGGATATTGCTTAATATTAGGCAATGGCTAGTTTGGCTCATGTTTTCCCCTCGTGTTCTTGCACCGTGTCTTGCAACCTATAGGTAAGATGAGAAAATTAAGAATATTCAAGTAACCCTTATGCTGGGCTGTGAAAGTCAGTGTTTTGAGCTGAAAAATCTGCTGCCTTCTGTGCAAGTACTTGGAATCTTAAAGATTCCTTAAAGGAAATAAATTGGTTTATTCTCTGGAGCAGCACAGCATCAGAATCTTCAATGCTGTCAGTCACTCAGTGCAAGCTTACTATTTAAAATAAAACCGAATTATAGTTATTAGCTCTGTTGTGAGTATGGCTCAGTTTATACTTGCCCTTCCTGCAGTGATGGAGAAAATAGCTGAGGATTGCTGTGGAATAGGGGTTTACACTTTTCTTCCAAAAGGTTGTGTTCAAAACTGAAATTACCCTATTTTCCCTCTTTGATTTTGGAATAAGCATTGGATGTGCATTTGTCTGCTGGTGTAGCCGGTAAAACTGCTAACATCTTTTTAAAATTATTTTTTCAGGGAGTGGGCAGTTTCTCCTTACCTACTAATGCTGTATTCTCTCTTTACAGACTGCCGTTGATGTTTTTAAGAGGATAATTTTGGAGGCAGAAAAGATCGATGGGGCAGCTTCACAAGGGAAGTCTTCATGCTCAGTAATGTAATTCCACTGCAAAACCTGAAAACACTGGGAATACATTCTACCTGAAGAAGCAAAACTGCCCATTATCTTTAAGGATAAACTATGCTTCTTTTTTTTTTTATTTTTATTTTTTTTTCTTCTGTTAACCTGAAAGATAAACAGTTGGTTTGGAGCCTTTCCCTTCAGATTATGTTAAACTCTGACTCCTGTGCAAATGGCTTCACTTCCATTTTCAAATTTTAAGCAATCATATTTTCAATTTATATATTGTATTTCTTAATATTATGACCAAGAATTTTACTGGCATTAATTTTTCAGTGTAGTTTGTTGGTTAGAATAATCATCAAAATGATGCATATTGTTACACTACTATTAACTAGGCTTGGATATCAGTGTTTCTTTGTGTTAAATGTATACTTGTAAATAAAATAGCTGCAAACCTTAAATGCTCTGTTTATAACGTTTTGTTGATTATTCCGTATCAACTTTTTTTTTGTATGAAAAATGTTCACCTGCTGACCTTAAGAGGAGGCGTGAGATCCTTGAAGCCAGTGGATGGTTTGACTATTGCTCGGGAAGTTGTTTGCGAGTGATCCCAACCATTTTTTGCTGCTAGAACTCCCGGCTGGCCAAGTAGCTCAGCTGTGCTTTGTGCTCGTTCGTGGGAAGGAGACACAAGTGAAGTGACACCTTTGATTTGGAGGGGAAGGTTTGGGTTTTCAGTCAGACAACCTGCACTGTATTTTTCCTCTGTAACCTGTTAAAGAGTTGTGGAGTAAAGGGTGCGCAGATCTGTCCCAAGTAAGGGGCCAGCATACACCTGTGCTACAGACTGTTCACATGGACTTGTAACTAGGAGTGCTGTCAGGATGGAGTGGATTTATCCAGGTCACAAATGTAGACTTGCTAAGAAAACAGAAATGTCATTTAAAATAAATTGCACGTCGTGAACAAATTGATGTGGGGTGTTTATGATGCATTCCTGTATTTTTTGCATCTGGATAGCACTGATAGAGGTGAGTGGTGTCCTGGCACATGGCCATTCACAGTGTCGGGGTCCCAGCACACCTCTGGGCAGCTTCTCCGAACCAGTTGCAAGTTTTTGCTTGGCTTTTGGACTAGGGGCTTAACAAGCTTTAGTGTCTTAAGTCTGGAAACAAACTACTTCAACTATGTATTTTTAAAAAAATGTGCAGTTGACCTACTTTGTGTTTAAAAGCAAAACAAAACCACAAACAACAACAAAACAAATGAGGCTGATTTGGGGAACAGTTAATTAAATGAAGTGTTTCTCTTGCATTTTTGTGTCCATTTGAAAATTTAATTTCTGGCAGGAATAATATGAAAGGGAAACTTGCAGTGTTTTTGCAACCAGAATTAGCTTTTGCATTTTGGTCTTTGCTGAAAGACGCAAATTTAGCATGTCTAATTTCTTCATTTCTTGTACAATGGTTCCTTCATATTATATAGAAAATGGTCTAAAGCCCTCAATTTAACAGTGTATGTAGAAAAACTTACTACTTTCTTTTGTCACCATGATATTAACTGGCTTCCTGGCAAAAAAAGTTGCCTTCTTTTCCCCTCCATTTAGGATATTTCCCAAAGTTTCTGAAAACTCCTTTCTATTACCTGAATTTTCACACCCTGTGTCACATACAGGTTCTGTAGCTGGGTGATTGTCATCTATGACAGATTGCTGAAGTTCAGCAAAGTCGGAGTGCTCATTCAAGGAAACCAGTATGTGCCTTGATTTCAGAACCAGACTGATCTGGGGCTGTGCAGTGGGTTTCCTTCACAAGAACCTGCAACAGTGGAATGAGGGTAGTTTGGCTGATAACGAAGTTGCTGAGGATTTGGAAAATGGTGTGTGGAACACAGGAACAATATGCATCTGTTTGGTAGTATCCTTCATTGGCTAATCATGAGGTGATAGATGACTTGTTGCATGACCAGATTCTGTGGCATTGCATCATGGACACAATGTTATGTGGTCTACATCACATGGTAGAAGTTCTGGAATACCAGAAACCTCAATGACCACATTTACTCTTTTTTTTTTTTTTTGTAAAGTAATGGCTGCATGTGTACTGGTGATCAATCTAAAGCCTGAGATAGCTGCGGCATTGGTGCTTGAGGTGTGCCAGCTGCTAAGGCTTTAGAGGAGATGGATGAGGAAATGTGCAACTTGATAGTCCTGGGCTAATCAAGGTCCTACCTTCCAGGGGTGAGGCTTTTCATGGGGGGCTTAAAGGCAAGTGCAGGTTCTCTGGAAGATTTGCAATGGGAACTTCCAAGACTTCACATACATGTACTGCTCTTGCATTTTCTGTAATAGCTGATGAATTGAATCCATCGACGTATGTTGTTTCCTTTCTACTGTTGCTGGCTTGTCCAGTAAGAAATGTAAATTATTCCACTTGTCCAAGCTTTTCTCTGCTAATAAGATCTAAAGACCAGCCATATGCAAGTCTTGGAGTTTTAATGAAATGTACAGTCAAGTGTGATCAGTGAACTACTTGTCCTTTGCTGTACAGAGACTTCAGTTGGCTTCTCAGCACCCTCCAGCAGTTGGAGTCTAATGGAGGCTGGGGCAGCCTCATGCTTCCTTATACTGACTTATGACTTGGCATGGGTTAGGCTCTTCACTGTGAGAGCCCTAAAACGGGGTGGTGGGCAATCTTGGAAGCCCTGTGTTATGTACAGAAGCAAGAAGTCGGTATCTAGCAAACTGCTGCTTGCCTGGAATTGATGAATTTCTACAGCCTTGTCTGGGAGCTGCCCTGATCCTTTAGAGGCTCCTGGAGGATTGTGATAAGTGGTGCATGGATTAAAAGGTAAGTCATGAAGGAAGTTCTCTGGCCCAGGCTAGAAAAAATTTGCTATACACTTAATAGGGCCCAGCCTTATTCTTAAGGGATGATCATTGGCAAAGATGAAAGTGCAAAGATCCTTTTCCTGTTGAGGAAACGAACAAAATTTAACTACCATAAGTCAAGTTAAATTCCCATTGACTTGCGTGGATTTAAAATGTGCTGTTCTGGAAATGACTCCTGCTTTGCTTGTGCTCCTGTCCAACTCCTTGCTTTGTTGCGTGAATACTGAGAAACCTCACGGTATCCTGAGCCCAAGAGACTGAGTCTGCCCATCTCCCAGCCTGCCACGCATGGAAATGCTGAGGACGAGGAAAGCGGTGGGGCTGGCGCAGCTCAGCAAGCAGAGGATGGGCTGCAGGCAGAAAGTGGATAAGTGATCCTTCCTTTTCCTTTTTTTTCTATGCGTAGCAAACTTTATCCCTGCCAAATTAACTCCAGAAGAGGAAAGACTTGGAGACAAGCCTGCTTTGGGTCTGTGGAGTCTTTTGCCTAACGCTTCTTCCCAGCTTCTGCAAAGGGTTGGTGAATGCACGCTGGAGAAGAAAAAAGCTGGAAAAGTTTTTTTACTGCTGCCTTATGTCTGCAGTAGCTGTATTGTAGTATGTGGACCAGGCAGCCTTATGTTGTTCCTCGACCAAGGGCAGAGGAGTGTGGGCTGAAACTGGACTTTGCTGAGGAAGTTCTTGCAGCGTTGGAGGCAATGGTGAAGACTTTAGGCTTTCCATTTTCTAGTTTCTTTGAACAGAAAAGTTTTTATGTCCAAACTTGCACCCTGGAAGTGATGAAGGACAACTTTTGCAGTTACCCTTGTTTCTGACACAGGTGAGTGTAAAACATCCAGCTGGGTCTGTCCCAACTTGCAGCAATTTCCTTTGAAGTACAAGATGGGCAGCAGCCTGAAATGAGAAGGGTGGCCTACATCTACCCTTTGTAATGGGTACGTATTTTTTTGGTTTTACCTTCTTCAAGAGAAATGTGTAATCTTACACCTTTGTTGCTAAAGAATTTGTGCTGCTGCTCCGTGCAGGTGTCACCAGCTGCTGTGTGCAGCGTGGTGCAAGCGCGGTGCAGGTGGTGACGATGCAGCCGGGCTTGCTGGGCTTACCCTGCTAATTGGCACTGCTGTGCTGTAGCCTCTTGAGAAGGAGAAATCAACAGGTTTTAATTAGTCCTTATGTAATCAGTACTGCTCATCTTCCGAGCATCTTGTTAATACTACTTGCTAATCTTCACAACCTCATCTAATAAGGTCAAAATTACTCCCCTTTGACAGCTGGGGAGCGGGAATGAGAACCTTTGCACAGATGCCTTCAACTCGTTATGGGCACAGGGGAAACATGGCTAAGCCAGGTCTGGGTGATGGGTGACCTCAGCATCCAGCTTTTTCTTAGGTGTCCTATTTCCCTACTGGAACCTTTCTCTTTTGAAATAAGATGAAAACTGAAAGGATTTCACGCAAAACCCTGGGCTTGCTGATGTTTTCTAAAAGGAAATCCAAGTCCTATCTCCGTCAGATGCTTACTGAGATGTGCGGTGAGCTGCACTGGTGCTGATCATAAAGCAGAATATTGCTGAAAACAAGCTTTTACAGATTTTTTCAATATCTATCTCTGCAATGCTGCTAATAAATATTTGGCTAAACCTGACCAGCAGGTCCCAACTCCAAGGTGAGGAGCTATTTTTCCTAGAAGGAACCTGGCCAGATCTGAACTGTTATTCTGTGACAGGGTTTGCTCAGGCAGCATGTGGTGTACCCAGGCACTGGAAATGGGTTAATCACCAGCGGAAATCGGTGCTTTGGCAACTGGTGTGAGGTGGGCTAGGTCTTAAGCAACATGGATTTAATATAGAAACTCTGCCTTGAGTCTTAAGGATGGCTTCTCACTCTGTTGCTGCTCTGAAGTGGCCCACAAGATGTGCTCGTCCTTTTCAGCAGCAAGCCAAAAAACCTTCCATGGTTGTTCCATACCTAATGAGCTAGAAGTATTTCATACTGAGGTATGCGAAGAAATCTGTGAGCTTTTTAAAGCAAGATAGTGTTTTGAAAGCCCGGGGATACGGATGTTTCCTGTGCCTGGTCTTACGCTGCTTTGCAAATACTAAAAGCTCCTCCAGAAGCTGAAGCGTGGCCCTTTCAGAGGATGCGGTGTGAATCCTTGGCTGTTGCTCACGTAATTATTACTTGTGTGGGGTTGTACTGGCCATAGTAGGTACCTCTGAGCAGAATGCTAATCCTGCTCAGCCTCTGCTAAGAAATATTCCTGTTAGCATTAGCGAGGTCACTCCCAAAGATTGACCTCCAGGCATCACGCCCTGCTCTCTTGAAATCTCTGTGTCACAGAAGGAGCAAGTTTGACGTCTTCCTACCGTAACTTGGGTCATTCGGCGGCAGCGTCCTTCTGCCAGCACCACCTAATGCTGCAGATTATTGCTGGGCGTATTGCTGGGCTGGACATGTGTGATGGCCAGTGTCTGCTGAGCTGCACGGAAAAATCACCACCATAAAGTAACAGCCCATGGAAAGAGGTGGTGGCATCTCACGGCTGCGTTTTGAAAACCACCCAGCCTGGGCT